TGGCTCACGGAACATGGCACATGGAACATGGCACATGGAACATGGCACATGGAACATGGCTCATGGAACATGGCACATGGAACATGGCACATGGAACATGGCACATGGAACATGGCTCATGGAACATGGCACATGGAACATGGAACATGGCACATGGAACATGGCACATGGAACATGGAACATGGCACATGGCACATGGAACATGGCACATGGAACATGGCACATGGAACATGGAACATGGAAAATGAACATGGAACATGGAACATGGCACATGGCACATGGAACATGGCACATGGAACATGGCACATGGAACATGGAACATGGAACATGGAACATGGAACATGGCACATGGCACATGGAACATGGCACATGGCACATGGAACATGGCACATGGAACATGGCACATGGCACATGGAACATGGCACATGGAACATGGAACATGGAACATGCAACATGGAACATGCAACATGGCACATGGAACATGGCACATGGAACATGGAACATGGCTCATGGCACATGGAACATGGAACATGGAACATGGAACATGGCACATGGCACATGGCACATGGAACATGGAACATGGAACATGGAACATGGCACATGGCACATGGAACATGGCACATGGAACATGGCACATGGAACATGGCTCATGGAACATGGAACATGGCACATGGAACATGGCACATGGAACATGGCACATGGCACATGGAACATGGCACATGGAACATGGCACATGGAACATGGCACATGGAACATGGCACATGGAACATGGCTCATGGAACATGGCACATGGAACATGGAACATGGCACATGGAACATGGCACATGGAACATAGAACATGGAACATGGAACATGGAACATGGAACATGGAACATGGAACATGGCACATGGCACATGGAACATGGCACATGGAACATGGAACATGGAACATGGCACATGGAACATGGAACATGGCACATGGAACATGGAACATGGAACATGGAACATGGAACATGGCACATGGAACATGGAACATGGCACATGGAACATGGAACATGGAAAATGAACATGGAACATGGCACATGGCACATGGAACATGGCACATGGCACATGGAACATGGCACATGGAACATGGAACATGGAACATGCAACATGGAACATGCAACATGGCACATGGAACATGGCACATGGAACATGGAACATGGCTCATGGCACATGGAACATGGAACATGGAACATGGAACATGGCACATGGCACATGGCACATGGCACATGGCACATGGAACATGGAACATGGAACATGGCTCATGGAACATGGCACATGGAACATGGAACATGGCACATGGCACATGGAACATGGCACATGGAACATGGCACATGGAACATGGCTCATGGAACATGGAACATGGCACATGGAACATGGCACATGGAACATGGCACATGGCACATGGAACATGGCACATGGAACATGGCACATGGAACATGGCACATGGAACATGGCACATGGAACATGGCTCATGGAACATGGCACATGGAACATGGAACATGGCACATGGAACATGGCACATGGAACATGGAACATGGAACATGGAACATGGCACATGGAACATGGCACATGGAACATGGCACATGGCACATGGCACATGGCACATGGAACATGGCACATGGAACATGGAACATGGAACATGGAACATGGCACATGGCACATGGCACATGGAACATGGCACATGGAACATGGAACATGGCACATGGAACATGGCACATGGAACATGGCACATGGAACATGGCACATGGAACATGGAACATGGCACATGGAACATGGCACATGGAACATGGCACATGGAACATGGAACATGGAACATGGCACATGGAACATGGAACATGGCACATGGAACATGGAACATGGAACATGGAACATGGAACATGGAACATGGAACATGGAACATGGAACATGGCACATGGCACATGGAACATGGCACATGGCACATGGAACATGGCACATGGAACATGGAACATGGAACATGGAACATGGAACATGCAACATGGAACATGCAACATGGCACATGGAACATGGCACATGGAACATGGAACATGGCTCATGGAACATGGCACATGGAACATGGAACATGGCACATGGCACATGGAACATGGCACATGGAACATGGCACATGGAACATGGCACATGGAACATGGCACATGGAACATGGCTCATGGAACATGGCACATGGAACATGGAACATGGCACATGGAACATGGCACATGGAACATAGAACATGGCACATGGAACATGGAACATGGAACATGGAACATGGAACATGGAACATGGAACATGGAACATGGAACATGGAACATGGCACATGGCACATGGCACATGGAACATGGAACATGGAACATGGAACATGGCACATGGAACATGGCACATGGAACATGGCACATGGAACATGGCTCATGGAACATGGCACATGGAACATGGAACATGGCACATGGCACATGGCACATGGAACATGGAACATGGCACATGGCACATGGAACATGGCACATGGAACATGGAACATGGAACATGGAACATGGAACATGGAACATGGAACATGGCTCATGGAACATGGAACATGGAACATGGAACATGGAACATGGAACATGGAACATGGGACATGGATGTTAAGTTAAGTTTTAAGTTAAAAGCAATTGCCCGTAATATTCATCTAGCAAATTAGATTTTTTAATACTTTTCGTTTTATTAAATGGATGACTAACAAATATTCTTTTCCATGCAGATCCGAGATCGCTGTCGCAAGGGTATACCCAAGTCGGTGCGGCCGAAGGCCTGGTTCTATTTATCGGGGGCGTATTTGCTGAAGAAAAAGAACCCCAATGTTTATCAAGAGCTGCTGGAAAAGCCCGGACATCCGACGACCATCGAAGAAATCAAAAAGGACAAGCATCGCCAGTTTCCGTTCCACGAAATGTTTCTCGACGAGCAGAAGGTCGGACAGATCGAACTCTTTAATGTGCTAAAGGCTTACTCGATATACAATCCCAAAGTGGGATTCTGCCAGGCGCAGGCACCGATAGCCGCTTTCCTATTGATGCACCTGCCGGCGGAGGATGCCTTTTGGGTATTCGTCAGCGTGTGCGATGTGTAAGTAAATATTTCCTAAATAATGAGCTTTTTATAACTATATTTATCTGGTTGATTTTCACAGTTACCTGCAGGACTATTTCATACCCGGCTTGGAGGTGATTCAGAACGATGCCGGCATCCTGGAGGGTCTGCTAAAGAAGACGTGCCCGCCCGTCTACCGGCACTTGCAAAAGCACAAAGTGGAGCCGCTGCTCTACATGACCGACTGGTTCCTGTGCGCCATGACGCGCACTCTGCCCTGGGAGACGTTGCTGCGCGTGTGGGACTGCTTCCTAGCCGAAGGCATCCGGGTTATCTTCAAGGTGGCCCTGGTCATAATTGGAGCTTCGCTCAGCCGGCACAAAGTGCGAAAAACATGCACTGGCCTCTGCGAAACATTGGCCGTTCTGCGGTCGCCCGAAGAGCACATCGTGGAGGAGGAGTTCATCATCAACAATATGATGCGACTCAATCTGCGCGTCGAGGACTTCCAGATCGAGCACACGCGCCAGAAGGCCCGCAGGGCCAAACAGAAGGCGCAGCAGGAGGCGGAGTCCAGCGGTTCCAGCAACGGACATCGACGCAACATGCCAACGCTGTGAGGGATCGCAACTACTACTACTTCAACAAATTGTTACTAAACACACAAACCACACAACCCATGCATAGTTGCATAAGATTTGTACGTTTAAAGTCGAATAGGAGGCAGGTCGTGCACAAAGTGGATGGGAGAGAAGTAGAGTGACCGCGAACTGGTTCAGTCAGTTGGTCAGTCAATTACGGAGACATCATTCCATGCAATCATTTTGCCTAATTTTAAGACAATTCTTTTGTGGAGCACATTCGGGCTGGACTTGTATCGGTATTTGTTTTCGTATTATTCATTTAGTGGCAATTATTACGAGCGTGCAATTTGTTTATGCTTTTCAAAAGTATTTATTACATATTTATTATTATCGTGTAACATTACAAACTTTAGCGTTAGCGTTGAGTTGAGTTGAGGATCCCGAACATATCGTATGATTATCATCACCACCCTAAGGCAGCTGACACAAGGACTGGAGGATTTTATAGTTTGAAATTTGTACTACTTTATCCGTATTCACTCTGAGACGAAAATGTTGATATTTACCTACGATAATGCGTTACGAGCCTAAAGAGTTTGGAGACCAGTTTTGTGACTGGTTTTTTAGGCAAAAGTAATAGTAAACTTTAATACTAATAAAACAAAATATACCGAAATATTAACAAACAAAAAGTGTTTTCATTTAGCATAAATAATTGACACCCATCCAAAAAAAAACAATTTGGAGTTGATGTAGAATTAAATGTCTTATTTATTAACATTAATTAAACAGAGGCGTAGCAGCTCACGTGCAGAGACCAACTTTCTTTTGTGACTAATTCCAGATTAGCCACAAAGTCGGGTCGAAAGTATACAACTGAAATCGTAAACATATATTTATAATTTTTGTATTATAATTTCGATAATATCAGTTAGTATTAATTGAGATTAGACTGGGAAATAAATAGCTTGAGTACTTACAGCTAGTAATTAAAAGGGTAGCCTAGAGATAAACTATAGCTAAAGGTCCAATCTAGGAAATAGGCTGTCTATGGGTAAATAGTAAGAATACTTTACTTAATCTCATGAAAGGGAAGCCGTTAAGGGCGACTATCTGTTTCGGCCCACCACTGGAAGTACAGGTGTTGTGAAAGTGTATTAGGTCGATTTGTATGATAAAAAAAAACTGCGTTATCTAGTGGCAAAACGTAATCTATGTTGAATTCACAGAATTTTCGTCTTTTAAATAAATAGATATTAAATAAATATTTGCAGACTACGGGAGATTTAAAAGAACAGCAAAAGACGTCATCTATTGTCACTTTGAAAATTTTAAAGCGAATTCGATTTGTATTTTGGCACTATTTTTTGGGAAACGGTAGACAAATGTGATTATTTTTGAATTTATAGTTTTATATATATGACCAGTAGATTTTAAATGTCTATGTTTGAATATTTCTACAAATCGAATTCGGAAAATTAGTTTAAAATGTACAATTATGCGTTAGCTGCCGTGACACATGTTTTTTTTACAATTTCACTTCGAGAAATTATTTAAAAGTTATACACTAGTAAAAGAAATGACACTTAAGTTTCTCCCTAAAAATGTTTGAAATGACAGAATTAATACTAATTTTCAAACCCATTTTTGAATGGCATTGAGATTCCAAACCAATATAAGCTCCTTATTTAAGACGAAAATGCTTGGTATTGTGAAGAGATTACATTCTGCCCCTAGGATATTTTGTCGAATAAATCGGAAAAATTCGTATGATTCCAATTTTTAACCGAGCAGATACTGGTCCTCGAATTCCACGTCATCGCCATCGTCCAATAAATGCGGCGGCAACGGCATATAGGGTCCTGAATCCTCGGCGGCCTGGTTTTCCCCGTCTGCAGGCAGTTCCGTGGCCTCCTCCTGCTCCTTTTCCTCAATGGCGATTTGTTCTCGGAGCAGTATCATCTCGTTTTCTCCCACCACAGGATGGTGCTTACGGAGGTGCTGCTGCAGCTCACGAAGGCTGTGCAACTCCCCCGCCGTTGCTGAGCCCGCCTCACTGCCCTGCTTGCACAGTTTGCAACGGATGTAGGCCGCGTGGGGCAGGTGCTGGAATCGATGGAACTGCAGCACCCACTGGCGATTTGTCTGCAACTCCTCGTCACAGTCCTGGCACCGATAAAGCTCCTCGCCCACCTTGCTCATGTGCAAAAGTTCCAGCTTGGTGAGACCGTGGTAATCGTTGATGTGCTCGCGCCACTGCTTCTTGCTGTTGGTTGTGAAGTTGTCACCACACTGCGGACACGCCAGGTGGTAGATGGAGCTCAGCTGCCCCTCCTGCTCGGCCTCCTCGTCATCCAAATCCCGCTGCGGGCGGTTGTCGCATCGATTGGTGTCGCGATTCAGGTGCTTGAAGAACATTTGCTTGCGCACAAACTCGCCGTCGCAGGTCAAGCACTTGAAGGATCGGTGCGGCAGATGGCGGAACTTGTGCGACTGCAGCTGGCCGATGGCGCCCTTGGTGTGGGTCACTGTCACCCGCTTGTAGCACTCCAGGCACAGGTAGTGATGGTTGTCGATCTGCCGGAAGTTGAGGCCCTCGCGGCTGTTAAAGTTGTGCTGCTCCACGATGTGCTTGCGCCAGAAGGCATGCGAGTCGAAGTTCTGATTGCACTTGGGGCAGAAGTACGTGATGAAGTCCAAGTCCACGGCATTGTGGTACGAAATGCTGTCCTCCAGCGTGTTTAGACCAGCGGGTCGAGTGGGTAGGCCGCCAGGCTGGGGTTTCAGGGAACGACTGCTGGCCGCAGAGGCAGCAGATGAGGAGCAGCCCGGCGGAGAAGGCGCTGCCGGTGGAGGAGAGGGCAACCTGGGCTTCTCCCTACTGTTATCCTTGTAGCGGCTATATGTATACTTCGGTTTGGTAATCATCACCGGCGTCTCCCGGTCGTAGATGCTGTGGCGGGCCCTCAAATGTGCAGCTATGTTCGGCTTGTGATTGTAGCAGGTGCCGCAGATCAGGCACTTCAAATACAGTCGGTAGGGCAGATGGCGGAAGTGATGGTCCTGCAAGCCCTTCAGCTTCGAATTGCACACAATGTCCTTGCACTGGGTGCACTGGTAGCGAAACTTGTCCAGCTGCCGCATGTTTAGGTACTGGCGCTTGTCAAAGTTGTGCACCTCGTTGATGTGACGGCGCCACTCGAACTGGGTCTTGTACTCCTGGCCGCAGGAGGGGCACAGGAAGATGTAGTTCTGCTCCACGGTGGGAACAGATGGGTCCGCTGCTCGTGAGTGCATCATTGTCTGTCGCCGCCTCTTGAGCGTTATCTTTCGGCAGCGGGTCTCGACGAGGTGAGTCCGCACGGCCGCCTGCGTGGGGAAGAGGGAGGCGCAGTGGGCGCACTTGTAGCGTAGATGGTTACTTTGCGTCGGCGGCGCTGGCGGTGGTGGAGGCGGTGCAATGGGGAAGTCCTCCTCGTCCGCCTGCATCTGCTCGCCAAAGTCATTTTCCTCCTCCATGCTGCCCTGGTCAACGTCATCCAGGTAGATTATCTCAAACGTTTCATTGGCCACCGTCACGATCTGCTTAATGGGGTTCTTGGAGGGCGCGAATTTGGGATCCAGTGGTGGCGCAGCTACTCCCATCTTTTGTGGCCCTCCCACGCGATGATAGGTAGCCAGGTGTTTTACCAAACCCTTCCTATCCGTGTAGGATTTGTGGCACTTGCGACACCTGGCGTACGCCTTGAACGGAAGATGCGTGATCCTGTGCTGCTGGGCATTCTGGATGCCATACGCATTGGTGATGATCTTGTCGCACGCTGTGCACTTCAGCTGCCGCTCGTTGATCATCTCGAAGTTCAGCTTGGTCAGATCGTTCATGCTGTGCGCCATTACGACATGGGTGCGCCAGTGCTTCTTCTCCATGAACTCCTTGCCGCACTGCGGACAGAGGTAGTCGATGTGCGGCTCGAAAATGTCGTCGCTGCTGATGCGACCGCCGCGTCGGGGGGCGTCTTCAAAGTAGGGCGAGTCTTCGTCCAAGGTGGCGCCATTTCCCTCGCCGTTTCCATTGTCCTCCAAGCATTCGTCCTCCAATATATTCACTGGAGCTTCACTATCTTCCTCCTCGGCGTCTTCCGACATCAGCTTGTCCATGTGGTGGTGCTGCAGCAGATGCCTGATCACTTCCTGATGATCCGTGTATCCCTTGTAGCACAGTTTACAGCGCAGCCACTCGGGCTGCGACAAATGGCTAAACTTGTGGGCGCGCAGTGATTTGATGGTGTTGGGCATCACAATCTTTAAGATAAGAGATGGAATTAGTTAAAGGGACTACCATTTATATGCCTTCAGCTCACCTTTTTGCACTCGAGGCACTGCATCTGCATGTCCACGCTCCGGAAATTAAGTCCCCGCCGGCTGACATAGTCGTGGACGAACTCGATGTGCTGGCTCCACTGGGCGTGGGTGTCGCACTCGGTGCCGCAGTCGGGGCACATGTAGTGTATGTAGTCCTCGCACAGTTCGGCTGCTCCTCGATTGCTGGTTGGCTTCTTCTTGGCCTCCTTGTCGGGCAAAGGCTCCAGGAGGCCAGACTCATCGCCATCCGGTTCGAGCAGCTCGTTCCGCACCTCAATGCGATCATCGTCCTCGCCAAACTCATTATTCTCCCGGAAGCTCTTCTCCCGCTGCAACTGCTCGGTGCGCGATTCCCGAACTCGTGTCTTGCGTCCCGCAGCATTGTAACCCTCGCGCATCATGGCCACCACTTCGTCGCAGTGGACCATGCGCAGGTGCACCATTAGATCTTGCCTTCAAGGGAGAATCATATTTAGAACGAGACTTTAATTGGGTAAATGACCTGTACCTGTATTTGTACTCCCGCTTGCAGATGTAGCACTTGGTGCAGCGGAACGGCAGGTGCGTGAACTTGTGCTTCAGCAGATTCTCCCGGCTGTGCATGGCGATCCGCTTGTTGCACTCCTTGCAGCGCTGATACAGCTTGTCCAGCGGCGTGAAGTTCAGGCCGCGCAGCGTGTTGTACTTGTGGATGTGGTTCATGTGCCGCTTCCAGTGATCCTGCTGCCGGAACTCTCCGCCGCAGGCGGGGCATATGTAGACCACGCCCAGCTCGTAGTTAATGGGCACTCCGTTCTCATCCGTGGCATTGATCTGCGAGGTGGTGGGCCGCACAGAGGGGCCGGCACCCAAGCGGGGACGACCCACAGCGCCGGGAAACGAGTGGCGCTGCATGGTGGGTCGCAATTGCTGGCCCATTGGTCCAGCTGGAGCCAAAACCGGATGCTGTGGCTCCGCTATGCTGACAATGGGTTCCATGTCGAAGTCGAAGAGGGCATCGTCATCGGGATCGGGTTGCTTGGGTCCCTTGGCCACATTTCCGTAGTGCTCATCCTCGCCCTCCTCCTCCTCCTCCCTTTCGTCGTCTTCGCCATCCAACAGGTCATCGATGGCATCTGCCGCATCCAGGATCTCCGAATCGCCGAGGAAATCATCGTTGCCATTGCCGTACTGCTCGCCGTCCTCCAGCTCCGCCTCCCCGCCCTCCGGCTCACCCTCCTCGAAATCCGAGGAGAACATCGACGTCCACAGATCCATGCCCTCCATTTTTGGCCAGCGAAGAGAAGAGGTTTTTGTGCTGTGCGACAACTGGCGTCTTCTTCAGTGTGTGAGTGCGTGTGTGCGTGAGAACTAGTTTTCGTATCCTACGCCAAATTGGCCAAGAAGACAACTGCCTGGTTTTTCACTTTGTGGGGCTCTTCGTAGGTATTCCGGACACCAGCTTCCATCTTCACCGTCGCTGCAATCGCACACGCGTCACTTGGTCCGTTTGCATCTGCTATTGGCCCACTACGGCATCGGAAAATATGGCAAAAACTAAAACTTTTTCTATTCTGCAAGAATCAGAGCCATTTTGTTTGCGGCGTCGCGAGGTCACGGGCCGCGAATAAACTGTGACGGCGCGATACAGCGTTGCCAGACTACGTGAGTGGAAATCGATAATCAGCAACGTAACTATCGATAGTTCAACGATGATTTAAACAGAAGACCGCGAAAAAGAAAATATTTTTAGTATTGGTTTTTCCAATATCAACTTGAAATAAGAGCCATTTACCATTGGTATTCCATTTTATTATATTTGTAACTGTTTAGGACATGGGTTTATGGAAACAAAAAACCAAATAAATCAGTTTCAAATAACCCAGCTAAGTAAACCGACTTTTTAAATAAACTAATAACTTTTACGTTTATTTGGATTTAAATTCGGTCAAGATTTAATACGAATACTTCTAAATACAATATTTTATAAGTAACTGCTCGTAACTATCAATTCATTCCCCAATTCCGTTTACAGATCAATGATCAACCAAACATTTCAAAATAAATCCAAAATGCATAATTATGTACGAAAGGTTTTTATTGAACAAAGATTCGCGCTTGAATTTTGTATTTTTACACTTAATTAGTACGTGCACATTAGTACGTGCAAGGCGTACCGTTTAAATTACACATTTAATGTAATGTAATACAATGTTTATTATGTATGTGTTTACGTGAGTGTTCGTGTGAATGCGGTTGGTATAAATATAAATATAGATGTGGCGTGTAGTATGCAACTAGAATTAAATCGAAAGTCCAAGTGTGATTGAAGGACCCCATCCGGCCGCCTCCGCTGGCATCCTGCATCCTGTTTCCCGCTCCCTCTTCCTGTAGGCGTCCCACCTAACCGGAGTACCATATAATATCATATCATATTCGCAGGTGCCGCGGAACGGGGATCGGATGCTTCAACGTGGGCATTTTTTGTGGGGGCTACAGGCTACACGCGTTACATGGAATTATTACACGAACTAAGGAATTTAAATTACAGATTTGCAATGGGGTGTGGTGGTGGTGGTTGTGGTATGGTGGTTGGTAGTTGGTAGTGATAGGTAGAGTGCGCCGCCGCCTAAATGTGGTTCGATTAATTCTCGTCTGGGTGTACAGCAGCGATGCTCGTTTCCTGCATCTTCAGATCGTTGAGCAATTGATAATCTCTCGCTTAAATATTCGTTGGCCATCCCTCCGATCTGCCATTCGATTTTCCGAGCTGTTTTCTTTTGGATACGGGTAGGGTTATGCGTAATATAATATGGGTAGTATGAGTTTTTTTTTTTGCTGTTTTGTTGGTTTTTCTTATGGTGTCTCTTCCCGCCAACGGGCCGCTCCTCCTCCTCTTCCATTGCTTGTGCTGGGATCTGAGCAACTCGTGTGTTGTCATTACCAGAGTCCCGACGAGTAGCCGCCTGGGGGAATACGATTCTTGTTGATCACCGGAGTGCCGCCATTGGACGACTCCTGGCGCTGGTGGAAGTCGTTGGCTCCTGCCTTGTAGCCCTCGCCTGTGACAGGGTTTCCCTCTGTGGACATAAGAAAATAAGTATAAGTAAACTGGAAAATTAAATGGAAAACTTATTCGTAGAAAATCGAAAGATTGTAATATTATCTGGCCTCAACTTATGTTTGTAACTTAAAAATGCAACTTATTTTATAACGACGGGTTGTGGGTTTTTTAGCGAGGATGTGAGATTGGATTTATAATAAGGTTTAGGTTTAGGAAGCGGCAACCAGAACCAAACGCCCACCTCGAATCTTGAGCTTCTTGGGCTTGAGACCGCCCACACCATCTCCGTTCAGCCCGAGACCTGTGATCGGATTGCGAGAATCGAGTTTGGAGCACTCCTGATGCTCCTCCTTAATGTCATTCGGACATAGCCCCAAAGGCTCCTTTAAATCCGGCACACCAGCCATCTTGTTCAGCGAATAAGGCTTTTCGGGATTATTTCCAGAATCACGGCGGGTTTGACTGGCTTCGTCTACTTGATCGGACTTTGTATACGTATAATTATCAGCGGGAACGTCTCCTATTTCGCTGTCTCGGCAAGAAGTATCTATGGGTAGGCCGTCAGCCGGTGGGATTACAGGACTGGTTGGCGTCGGGATTGGAGGACACAAGTCAATTGGGAATGATTCTTTGGTTTCTGGTCCTGCTGCTGCTGGGCAAATTTCGGAGAAGGAGGAGCGAGGATAGGCGAATCGGGGATGAGGAGAGTATATCCTAGAGGACACTACAAGTACTCACTGCTCATATTGCGGAAAACTGACGCGAAACGATAAAACACCGGGAGTTGTTAGCCAAGATCGATGGACGAGTAGTTTTAGAGATTTTAGTGCGTGCGTGTGTGCAGTAAAAAATATATACAAATTTATAAATGCAGAAGAGCGTACGTAAATTCACAACTTATTTCGATGGATCAAATTTTGTTCAAGCGCTTTGCTTTTTGGGTACAATGGGTGTAGCTACTTCGTGCTCTGGGCTCGTACTGAACGGAATCCCAGCTTTTGGCTGTCTCACCGTTCTGACAGCCCGATACTTGGATCGAGTTCAAATCCAGCGACTACTACGAGATATCCCCCCATTAGAGATCGATTCTCACCTGATCTTGAGCCGCTGTTCATCTTGAGGTTCTCGGTCGAGGACGAGACCGAAGACGAGGCCGAGGACACCGATCCGCTCTTGCCGTTGTAGTGGCCATTGGTGGTGGTCAGCAGCTTCTGGGCGGCGGCTGCCTCTGAGTTCTGCCCGCCGAAGGGAATGCTGCTCTTCATGTGGTTCTTGCCGGGCGTGATCGGGCGGTTGGGCTCCCCAAATAGCCGATTGTGCGAGTCGACGGTCTTCTGGCCGCGACGTGGTGCATCACCTGCGCATCATCATCATCACGGTTGCGGGGTAACAAATCCAAGGGAATAAAACAAATTGGGGAAACCAAAGAAAATAAAACATTCAAATTAGTGGAGTTTGTGTTGGAGTAAAAACGTTTAAAATTAGTTTCTTAAGTGTGTCTTAAAAACATGTACATAATTGGGACAGTGGATGGGTGAGTACACTGAGAGAAAAACATAAATAGCTAAGTATTCTGTTGTGTTTTTTATGTGTTGCAGAATTATTTACTTTTAACTAGATATTAAATCAGTATAAATTTAAAATGCTTGGAAATGATTTTAGCTTAAATTGCTTTATGAAATACTTGAAGTAAATAAATATTACGATTCAAAAACATGATTTTATCTCATAACTTTTAGTTTGTATGCTAAGTACGTGATATTTCTTCATTGTGTGGTGTTATATGGCAAAGGTTAGCCAAAATTGAAAGAGAAGAGCCTTGAGTTCTTTCGGACTTTATCTGCTTGAACTCGAAATGTCATCGGCAGCAGGTGGAAAAAGGAAGCAAACCAAACCGGTTGGAATTGCAACTTCTCGAGCGGGAGTGGGTCAGTATTTCAGTATTTCTGTGGGAAGTGGGTGAGCTGTGTTCTGGGGGTTTAGTCGGGCTTGGAGTGTCGGGTGTCAGTGCGAGCTGAGAACTTGCGTTGGAACATAAATTAGCACAAAACTGACGACAACGAAAACAAAGTGAACACAATTTTAGGTGGAGGACTTTTTGTGCAATTGTTGTTGACATGAATCGGGGGAAAGGGGAGAGACATAGTTCAAGTACCAATGAAATAGAATCTGTGAGCTCCTTGTCGTACTGCAAAGATACGTAGAAAAGAAAAGATATAGAGCGGGGTAAGGAAAAAAAGAAGAACGAGAACGGGAAGAAAACGATAGACATTTAATAAGCATTTAATAGACCAGAATCCACTGCATCATCTATGGACATCTTATATCATAGGCACAATTTTCCAATCAAATCATAGAACAAGCAACTAAAGTTTATATATTTTTTTCATTTTGCTAGGGGAATCACACATCTATATAAAACAAAGGGTGGAACTTACCGTTGTTTTTCACTCCATTATCTTTCTCGGCTGCGAATATGTTGGACGCCATGCGATTCTTCACGTTCCTGGGGGTCTGCGGCATCTCCGATCCAAAGATGTCGCTCGAACCGCCGCCTGGGGGCCTCAGCACCCTGCAAAAAATAGAAGAAATAGAGATAGAGACTCATTAATTACAAGCTCATTCTTTTACGCTCGGTAATTGATATGGCACAGTGCATAATTCACAAATTTCCACACGCTCGCTTCGGTGCGGGGAAATGCATTTAATGTCTGTGTCTAATCATCATCACTGCGGATGGAAATGGAGATGGAGTTGGAGTTGGCGATGGAGTTTAAGGAGGCCTGCCTGCACTACTCATCGAGTTTAAGACGGAGCTGGCTGGGTGAGCACTCAATGGGCATTAGAAGTCACGCCAAGATGCATCGCCCATCTTCCAGCTGCATCGCAATTAAGTGGAAACCCTGGCATAAAGAATTGCAGCCGAGACAAAAGGCTGGCCAAAAATGTTATGCTTTGTGGCATTCACCAGCCACTCAGTACTCAGTCAAGTCAGTCAGTCAGTCGCCGTCCACGCAACGTTGCCCAAACCGAAAACTAAAACCACCAGCTACAGTGCGGATTGAATCTGTAAGGCCACAATGGTGCCAGATCTCTGCGGGTAGCCGTTGTTTATTAAAATTGGCCTGGGCAACGCAGCAGGACTATAATATTTAATACCACAATTCATAAACTGGAGTGCGGAGAATTGCTTTAAAACGGCTATAAAAGTTCACAAGAACATTAAAAAGTTATTCACACTCTAATGACTTCATTTAAATAATTAGAAATATTTATAAATTTATGTGGCTAGCTTAAAATTATTTTAAAGTCTCCTTTAAATTTGGGCTTTAAGCCAAGTTCCTTAGAAACACATGTTCTTATACTTAACAAACATAGATGAAAATATTTATATTACAATAAAAACAATCCTTAATCATTCCTAATGCAATACAAACTTAATTATTATGGGAAACTTCTCCATCACCCCACCTATTCTCTCCCCTGAACCTCAGACATTTGATCTTTTAATTTTCCCAAACTCGCAGCTGTCTTGCATTTGCGAACCGCACTGTCGGCCATCGAAGACTGCGGCTATCCGAGTGTATCTGAGGTTTCTGTGAATGCATTTTACTGCCGCCAGCATGAGACGTCAATTAAACTCTGCAACAGTTAGCTGAACTGTGGATGCTACCAACTTCTCTAACTCCAGCTCTAGCTGAATCCAAGTCCCAACTTCGACTCGATCTCCTGGTGGAAGGTGGATGGTGGTTGGTGGTTGCATTTGCCCCCAGGCTCGGAAAGCCAAAGACCATTCACTTGTCAACATTTGCTTTTGGTCGCTCTCTTGGCCATTTGCTATTGCTAGTTTACTACTGCAAGACGCCTTCCTCGGGGCGTCAATCAAATCAGCGGGCTTTCAGTGGGCTAAAAGATTGCGTTTTTATGCACCATCTGCAAAACGACCGACGGACAGACAGACACGCACTTCTCTTCCAAGGAAAGTGAGAGTCGCCAAGCGATTCCCGCTACTTTTGTTACACTTTTGCGATAATTAACAAAATTGCATTGTAATTACTGCCGATTACGGTTGGTTTAAACAAAGCTAACAGCTAACAGCTAAATGCTAGAGCCAAACAATGAGCATAAATAATAGGGGCAATTCCCAGTTTAGCATTCATTTCGGGTATTAAAACTTTCTACCAGTAGAATTGAATTGAGTGCAGCGGAAAAGGGAAAAGTGGGTGGCGGTGGTGAGGTGAGGTAAAGGTGCGTCCGTCGTCTTCCTGCTAGAAAGTGCAACCCAAATTGCGTGCCCCGGCGGAAGAGGAAGGCCTCAGCTGCTGTTGCTTCTGCTGCTGTTGCGGCTGGGCCTAATTAATTATACCACACTGCAGAGCGGCTTCTTCTGTGCCAAGCTTTTCTTGGCCCTCGAAACATGACAAAGCGTCAAAAGCGCAGCCGCAAAGGCAAAACAACCGTTAAACGGCCGCCGCAAGTGTGTGAACTGCTTGAAAAAGTGGGCAAGAGGGAAAGAGGGGCAATATATGTACACTGAGGGAAAATCATAGATATAAGTTAAAGCCTTATATTTATAAAACAATCGAAACTTCAATATAGGAACTCATTTTAAAGAGGTAAACTTTTGCAATGATAATAATATTATAATGACAAAGTATAAAATATCTATATTTAAGTTTTGGTTCTAACCTATCAAAGACCTTTTGATCCTTTATCATTACTGAATCAATACATCATTTAAAACCATTCTACCTTACCATCAAATCATTTGTAAAATTATTTCAATAATAAGAACTGATCACTAGAATCTATTAAATTGTTTTATTAAACCTCTACAGGAGATCTGTATCTGGGCTAATGATATTCCTCCTATTGATATCTAATTTTCCAGTGTAGCGGAGTTTTGCGAGTGGCGTCGCGTGGGGAAATCGCTGAAATAACTCGCACTCGCAGTTCGGGTTGGGTTGGTGTGTGGGGTAATTGCGATCATAACTGTCGCACACTCTATAAGACCGGGCCTGCTGTGTGCTGTGTGTGCAAAGTGTTCTTATTAAAATGTCTTCAGGCTTGTTAGCACAACCAGCCGAGCGTAAAACTCTTCTTTTTTTCTGTTTTTTGTACTCTTTCTTTTTTGACAAAGACTTGTTTCTCCTGCTTTGTTTTCATTATTTTCTTTTCCTTTTTTTTTAGTTTTAGTTTTGGTTTGGACCGGCAGGGTTGAGAGGAAAAACTAACAAAGCAACGGTAAATGGGCAATTTTTGCGCAAGTGACGAACAAGTAATAATTATTTAAACAGTTAAGCCGCCAGAAAAGCCAAGTGGACTCTCATTCATTCATGCATGTGAACCTACCAACTTACCACCGAATGCGGCCCGATCAAATGGAAAGCGAAAGTTGCGTTTGACTTTGGCCCATGCCACATGTGGCACAATATCCCATGCACTTATTGGATGGCCAGGCCAAAGTGGCGAAGATATGGCGAACATCTTAATGGCTTAAAGTTAGCCAGTTCGCCAGTTAGCCGGGCCTAGACTAATTACCATCCACACGCCGGCCGGCTGGCTGTGCGAATAAAAAAAGGTCACTCTATTGTGGCTCTGCCAAATTTGGACACTTTGCTCTTTTTTAATGGCCCCAGGTTATGCACACACATATTTCCATCCATCCCTAACCATTACCATTATTGTGCCCGGAAAATGTGGCAGTTTATTTTGGCATGGCTTCCGTTTGAGCTGGTTTCGGCCATTTACTTTCCACACGCACTGTGACGCGCGGTCTGGCTTCCCTGGAATCCTCCAGTCAATGGGCTAATTCGCAATTAACCTATTTGCACCGCCTTAGCGTCGCTATTTCAGTTCTCTTATGACATATGCTTTAATATGGAGAAACAGCTAAGCTTAAGGGTGGTTCTTAGTTAAAAGAATAGTTTTAGGAGCACAATTTAAATATATATGTATTTTTTTTGTATACTAAATATAGTGAAGTTTTTAGTTCCACTGTAGTTACTTTGAATTTTTATTGGAAACCTTATGGAAACAGCTAAGTTTAATGTTGGTTCTAACGTGTAAGTATTATTTCTGAAACATACTCAAAATATTTATTTTTTCGAAAGATACGATAAAGATAATATTATGTGATTATAAATTATAACTTATATATATTTGTATATTATAAAATTAACCATTTAAATTGAATATATAAATCTAAACCAATATATGATGATTTTTTTAGTTCCACTGCAGTTAGTTTGCATTTTTCCTGGGAACCTAATAGCTTGACTCAATTTGAAATATGAGCCAAATCGAATGGACCAATCTGGCTACACCCCTCCCCTCTTCTGGAGCACTTTTGGATCATTGGCAGACCTTTCACACACCAGGCGCCGCGGGCAAAAGTTGACCAAGTCAGGAGATCTGCGACAAAACAAGACCGCCAGCCAGGTGGAGCTGGGAGTGCGCAGGTGGCTCCTTGAGAGCCTTGGCTTCTCCCGTCCTGGGTGATGACAAAAATTAATGTATATCGAGGGGAAGGGGCAGGAAGAGGCCGCTCCGAGCGAAAGGTAATGTGGCATGGTGCTGCCTGCAACAACGGCGAAATTTGAAAACAACCTTTTCGGGTAAAAGTTGTTCGGGTTGTGCATATAGAAAATACTTGGCTCAAAGTGATAGTTGTCGCTCTGATTTAGTTTGGGTTTAGTTTTTTGATTTTTCTCTCCATGGCCTTTCTTCTTCGGCACAGCTCTAGGGTATTTTCCCATTTTCCCCGTCACTCCTCCTTTTCCTCAAATGCTGCTGCTGCTGCGATAATTGTTTTATGTTTGCACACATATCGGTGGGAGGGGGAGGGGGCTTTCCCAGATTTCCCTTTTACCCGACGTCAATTAATTACAACACCGAGAAGGAGTGGCCAGCCTAAAAGTCCGAGCCAAATCATCGTCGATAGCCAAACACACCGACACTTTTTGTTGTAAGCCTCTCGATTTTTAAATTATGAAATTAAATTTAACTTTCTATTGCGCTTGACCTCATAAAAGTTGTACGATTTTTATTTCGAATTTTTCATGGCTAATGAAGGGTTGTGTTGTATAAAGATTATTAATATCTTATAATTCATAATACTTTTTTTTTAAGGATCTGTTTTTCTGGACATTCTTCTTTTTCATTCCAAAAACTAAGAGTATTTCCATTTCGAGATGTCCTCTTTCCACTGTCGTTGAGCTTCATAAACTTCAACGCCAAATTCATTACGACAGTTTTCTAATTAACCAACTGTCAAAATTCGTTTTTACTGAGCGCACAAGTAAAAGTTGAAATCGGAGATCTGCTTCCTCTTCTTCCGCGAAAAGCTGTTGGAAAACTTTTTGTGTATTGACAGCGTGTGGGAAAGCAAGCCGACCAAAGACACAAAAAATGGAAAATAAAAAAAAACTAATGCATTTGGAGCATAAGAAGCTTATTATCGTGTCTCGTTCCTAAAAACGCATTCCCTATGACTAATACTTAAAAATTTCGTAATGAAAATGGTGGTCGGTGGTGGTGTGAAAATCTCCGTCTTTCTCGATCTGTCTGGCT